CTCATGATGCAGCTTAGTTTGCTCAGTGGGAGCATGTCTCGTTTGTGGTCCTGTAGCACCTTAGCTGCTGGTGTTCCCCTCCTCACGAAGAACATTGGCAAGATGTCTGAGGGAATGGACATCGATGCTATGATTGCTGTCCCCTGATAAAAGTTTATCGCACAATCGCAATCAATGACTGCGCTTTAATCTGAACCCAAGTAGTTCTCTATTGCTATCTAAGGAGTCGCGGAAGCGGATTGAGAGCCTGCAGGCCAGCTTGTCAGGAGCAGATCCTTCAACGCCGCCGCCTGTGGAACACAAAGGCAGCTTGTAATATAGCTGGTTTATTGGTTGCAATTAAGGGTTCTGCATGGGAGGGGGATTTATCATCAGCTTGCGCTTCTTATAACGATTGATGGGAGGCGCTCCAGTGATTGCTGCTGCTTCTGGGCATCACCTTGCTGGCGCCTTCCCACGAACACGCCGGGACTTGAGTTATGATTCAAAGGAGGATGCTCAGGACCCTCGCTGGTTCGAGCGATCAACTAGCAAGAGAAGAAGAAGACCTGCGTCTGTGAGAAGCAGGGGAACGAGCAAGATCGCCGCAACGGCGAAGCCTGATGCTGAAAATTCTGGGGGCCCAAAAATGCCAAGACCTGCCCCAGCGCTTCCCATGCCACCTTCCTTCCCAAGCCTGCCAGACTCAGCAGCCGCAGACCGCCCCGCCCTGAACCATGAAGACACATTCCATCGTTCTGTTACAGACAACGAGCAGGTAAGTAGTGATGAGAATGAGCCAGAAGAGTCAGTGGCTCGGGTCCCCGAGAAGAAGGACAAAACCTGGTGGAAGAGATTCTGCTACAAATATAATTAGTCCGCATACGAGCCTCCAATCTAGATTGCTTCAGTGTTCTGCTAGCTATACGCAACCAAGCTGAGGATGTATCGCTACTTCAGGCCCAAATCTGATGGAATGGTAAAGGCCTCCCCGGATGCAATCCGCCTATGGAAGACGACCGATGGTCGTGCTTGTCCATGCTTAGAAATTAAATGTTGTAAGCTGTTGGTGTGTGCTTTGCCCCTTTGTAAACCCTTGTTCACAGAGGACCCATAGGACACTTTTACTGACCTTATTGTTGCAAGCCCAATCCTCCAGAAAACAATCTAATCACATAAGGCATGAAGTTGCGCGAGCTTCTGCTCAAGAATGGTGACTTTGGGCGTGTGGAAATCCGTCTGAAGCAGTGGCGCACGAGAATGCGCCGGCTTGCAAAAGAGGGTGGATGGTACACGAAAAATTACCTTGAGTTGGAGGCAAAATGGACCAAGCTCCTTGTCTTGAAGACTTATCTCAAGCCTGGCTTCTAGAGCTTTCGCAGTTTTATAAACACCCCTTTATCACATAATGACCCCATGAGATTCCTTGCCTCTCGCGTGCCCATGATGTAGTAGCAGATGCCAGCCCTGGCCGGGTATCAATAATGATGGGAGTTACTTTGGGCTGAGGGATATCTGTGTGTGCAAGCTAGCGCTAAGTACGGGGTTTCGGCTTGGGGTTGGAGTTTGATTGAGGCCATTTACATGATTTTGCATTGTGCTTGAATTCAGATTACGTTTGCTGAGCTTAGGAAGATGATCATGAACGCCTGGAAGTGGGCGGATCAGAAAGCAGGGAGGAAAAGGGTGAACCCCGTCCATGGTGAAGAAGAGATTCGCATCATATTGAAAGAGAGTTTCATCTTCATGGACGAGGAAGGGGACACGGCTGATGCCACCGGCGAGTTTGATATGCAGGAGAATTTCACTTTGTAGCCTTGTAGAGCCTGCCTAAGTCACAAACTGCGCACCCTGGATGTATATAGCTTACTTGATAGTTGCTGCGCATGTAGCTTTGTCTGTCCTACCAGGACGATGCTGGAGCCCTGTTCGAGAATGACCTCCCTGAGGTCACTGCCTCGGATGAGAAGCTGGTGGAGAATCTGGGTCCTCTCCCAGAGTCTTCGCCTCAGGCAGCCGTGACAGGAGGGGGATCTTTCAAGCATCAAGGCGGCATTGGTGTGTGTGTGTGTGGGTGTTCAATTAAGTTTGGGAGCTGAGTGCGTGCTTGATGTTGCTGATTGATTTTTGAGGCTCACATACCCAACGCTTCGTCAGAACAGCTCTGCCTTTGTCTTGCTCCCCAGCTTTATTGAAATTGCGGGACGAAAGATGGATGCTACAGATGCTGTCCTGGCCAGGGCCAAAGCTTGCCATTTGCATGCCTACTGGTACTCAAGGCTTCCCCTGTAACATCAAATTTAACACGCACCTTTAGGACAAGCTGCAGCCGCAGATGACCGTGAACCCGAGAGCCGCGCAGCACCCCAGATGCAACATATGCACAAACCATGAGCCCATTGAAAAGATTCCGGCAACAAGTAGGTTTCACCATGATGAGGCTGGCCACAAACCTGCAAGCTCAGCTTGACAAGTTGAAGAAGCAGTACCAGTTGCTGCAAGAGCTTCAGGAGGATGTTGCTACTGCGAGGGTTGCCAGGCGTACTGTCCACAATCAATCCTACCATGTGCATAAGACGACCCCTTGATACCTGAACCCGCAATATTCTAAACTCCTACACCCTTAGTCCCTCAAAAAAACCCTGTCGAATCCCTATATATAGACCCCTCAGTTGCTAGCCCCTACAACTCCTATGCCCCTGAACCCCAAAAGCCCAAACCCGTAACCCCTCAAGCGTAGGCCCAGTAACTTGCGTGGCGTATCCCCATGGTACCATTTCCACCTTTCCCTGTAGAAACATGCAACTACTTAATTGGTTGGAAGCCATGTATTACAATAGTCCTCTTTCCTGAAGGCCTGAGTCGAGCAAGGCCATTCTGGCTGCTATGGCTGAATGCACAAGATTGGATGTCGCCCTGAACAATTTGGTGATTCGGGCAAGGCCCTATAAGTTTGTGCACTATTTCAAGTGGCCCATAACCATGTGAGTGCCCAGCTGTTGGCATGTGCAGGCAGATGAAGCCCGCGGGTGCGCCTGCGTCATCGGTTGGCGCTAAGAAGCCAAAGGCCAAAGCAAAGGGCAAGGGTACGAAGCCAAAGAGAGCTTCTCGTTGAGCTTGTTTGGGCAATGTTTCCGGAAGCTCATTGGATTTTGACCCTGCCTGTGGTGTGACCCACGGACAGCTGCTCTACTGATGATATGTTCAACATGCACTGGTACGCAGTGCCTGCAAAAGTACTAGATGGCATGGCCATTCGGGGGACGCGTTTGATGGCTGGCCGGCTAGAAAAGTTGGCTACTGCGTGCCCTGCTTTGTCAGTGCATAGTTTGCAAACCACTCCAATTGCAAGTGTAACCGCAAGTGAAACAATTCCAAACTGCAGGTGCGGCACATGATTGCTATGATCCGGAACCACTACCCCCAGGACACCTCTAAGTTTTAGTATACAATCCCCACTTACCACCCTCACCTTCAGGAGTCCGATACCGTGTCGATGGCGTGAACATCACCCATGACGAAGATTTGGCGGACGAGCTTCTTATTAGTTTCGAAGATGGTGTGGCTAGTTCTCGATTAGTTTAATCTGGTACCTATACGTATGTATACCCCAAGGGTTTCAAAGGAATGTATTGAAAAATAGGGTTCAGGTAGTTTGGGGCTGGGTTGATGTTGTGTAGGCTTGTTGGAGCTCAGTTTTGGTGCTATGCAATCCAGAGCCTGGAATTCCACCAATCCCGTATATATGTACCCACTCGAATGATCTGTGTAGGCTGCTTGCTAATTTTGAAGAATAGATTGTGTACGCTGTTGCCCTAGGCAGACTCAGCCGCCCGGGTGGTCAGACTAGCGAGGGTGGCTCACAATAGATTGCGGGCCCATGGTGTCTTGGCATGCTATGCAAATTCTGATATTATGGGGTCCCGGTAGTGCCTATAGGATAGGGCATTCTGGGGCTTGGGATACACGTTCTAGCCAACACTCAGGAGTTGTGGATCCTATGCTTCAGAAAATGGCAGCTTGTGGGACAGGCCCAGATGATCCCCATATGTGCCGAAACCTTCATAGGATGATTGAAACATCTTCCCGATCACTTCCAGTTCCTATATCGACAGCTGTTGTTCCCATCAGAACTTCCAAGAAGGGAAGGCCTCTCAAGGTCAAGGAAGTCGCGTATCCTCTTCTGAGACCTTCAGACTGGGCTAGATGCATCTTCAAAAGAGGCGGTCATTTTTTTCTGGGCGGGTCTTCGTTGGACTCAGTACAAAGCTTCGGAAATACATTGGAGGAATTTTGGAGGCGCTACCATACAGTGGACAGCACACTCAAGTTCGAGGGAAGTCCTCGCTTTGCCATTCCCTATGCTCTGCATGGAGATGAAGGTCGTGGAAAAGGGAAGAAGCCAATATTGGTGTTATCGTTTCAGCCGTTGATTACAAATGCTGATATGTCCATCTCGAATCTTGGAGGGTGCCCTGCATAAAACTAATTGCATGGGTTTCCCCCTTTATTGCCTCTAGCTAGATTAAAGGAATTATATATATATAGTCATACCATGGTACCCATCCAGGCATACATTCTGCAGTCGGCTGCTTTTGGCCGTGATCCCATCGGTGTTCTATGTCAAAGACAAGACGCAGGATAGGATTCTTGAAGCTTTGGTCACGGATTTGACCGCATTGCAGGTAGAAGGGATCCCTGCCCTTTCCCTGAATTTTGAGTATGATGTATAACGAGCTTTTTCATTTATTAGCGGGCCCTATGTAAGATACATTGTATGTGTCCAGTCGAAATGCGCCTCAGGTGACTTGGAAGGGGAACCACATGCGCTTCAGATTCGTTTACATGGGCACGAAAGGAGACTGGGTGTTCTTACGCTCTGCGTTTAAGATGGCTGTGGGCTTCAATTGCAAAAGAAAGTGTCACTTGTGCGATATCTCAGAACCTGGTTTGCATGCAGCCCGATATTGGGTGGCTTTCTTTCTGGGTGGGTTGCTTAACTTCGCCTATCCTGAAATAAGGATTGGTGGGATGTCAAAGGAGAAATCCAGGCTTTGCCGGCGGGGTATATTGCCGAAGATCCATTCAAATGTGGACCAGCTTCAGCCCTTAGATCGTTGCCCGGTGGAGATGATGCTTCTATGATTCGGGTCGATGGTGCCCACACGTGGGCCATCAATGGTATCGGCAAGGACTTGTACAGCAGCTCGTTGGTACTTGCGGCACGTATCGGTCTTTTTGGCACAGGCTCGATGGAACACCGTCTTGGGGTTGCCTATGACAGATTCCAAGTCTTTGTGCGAAAATCATCGAAGTATACCAGTATCGACGGCTTCAATTACATGACCCTCAAGTGCAACAAGACGTTCCTTGTCTGAAAAAGCTATATCGGTCTTGCCTTATATCTTCCAACCCTGAACTCTGAACCTAACCTCTCTCCCATAACCCTTAACCCTTGACCCATATTCCTGAACCCCTAGGCGCTTGAATGGAATGACCTCATCTACTGGGCCCCAAGAAATAATCTTAAGTCCAAAGAAACAGATCCCAGGTACACAGACTTCCCCAGTGGTTTGGGCAAGGGGCATGATTGTGCCATTGTCGGCAGCTGGCTGGAAGAAGAACTTGCCCGCACCAACGTGGCCTTGCTTGTGGCTGTGATGTTGTACGCTAGTGGGTTTAGGTTTAGGGTGCAGGGTTATGGGTTTGGGGCCTATAGGGTTCTATATAGGTTAGGGTGTAGGTGTATATCAGGTGTACAAAAACATTTAGGGTGCCATAGGTTGCGCCTAATTAGGTTGTATTGGGAGGAATGGGTTGCCGGATATATGCTGTAAATTTTATGGGGCGTATGGGCTTTGGTGTATAGCAGCCTTCTATAAGTGCCTATAGGTTTTAAGTGTATATATTGGGTTGTATATGAAAGGCCTGGTGGACAGGTGTAAGGTTTAGGTTATAGGTGTATTTCTAAATATATGTATAGGATTATATAGCTGTCTATATTGAGGTGTAGGTTTGGGGTGTAGTTTGGGGGTGCATATAGATTTGGGGGGTGATAAATTTTGGGCACTGATTTCGTAATGGACCTGCTACAATCTAGATTGGATAGGCAATTTTGAAATTTGATAAAACCCTCGCAACCTAGGCTGAGCAACACCGTGAGATCTTCGAAGTCATGCGCTACACTGTTGCGATGGCAGGAAAGTTCTGGAGAACGATCTATGAGAGTGGGGTATGGCTACGACGTGCTGATGCTCATGACTGCATCCATTATGGTTGGCGGGTTGCCGTGGCCTGATTACAATCAACCCAAAAAGTTTCTTGTTACAAGGTTTGACAATCTTTGGTAAGCTTTCGCGCATGTTCTAGCGTGTATGAATCTGCAAGATTCAAGGAAGGCTACGCTACATTGGCCAGTCTGAGTGCCCGAGCGGGCCTGATGATGTTCAAGATTCGCCCGAAGTTGCATATGTACTGCCATTTGGTGTTCCTGGGCACCATGATGGAAACCCTCTTTACCAAAAATTATATGGATAAAGTAGTTGTTTATCCTTTCTGCGAAAGTATACAGCTGAGACTGGACTTGCAAAATCAAATGGAGAACGACAATGCAAAGTACATCCTATCGCCAACCAACTTTATGGTTTGGTCTGACGAGGATTTCATCGGACGGATTGCCAGGTTGAGCCGACGAGTACATAAAGCCAGCACTGCGAAATATACGATTGATAGAGCAAAATGTCTCTACCTGCGTCAGTGGCGGCGAACGTTTGAGTGATCAGATCCCCCTGAGGCGTGGGCGTAAAAGATCCCCGCGTGTCCGCCAACTTCAGGATGTATGTTTGTGCATAGGCACGCAGGGCATTGGAAAGCTTATATCGGGATGGGAAGGGAGGAAGCATTCTTATAAGTTCCCACTAGCAAAGGCTTGGGCCCACCCCCCTTATAGTCAGCATTGCGCGAAGCATATGGGCTTTTTATTAGGGGAAAGGGGTGAATGGCAGGATTTAAATCTTGCAGAGGCTATACACTCAATCAGGTACGTGCGCTTTTTTTAGAACGAGCGCTTTTATGAGAAAGCGAGCGTTTCTGAATAGGTCGGGCAGTTATTTTTTGATACGGATATTTCTGTATCATTGGGCTGTCTAGGTATAGCCCTTAATAGGACCCCTAGTATAGACTGTTACTGGGTGGGGGCAGTACCCAAGGCTTAGAGGTTTAGGGTTCAGGCTTAGTGTTCAGGGTTCAAGGGTTGAGGGGGCTCAACACCTAGAAATATTCCTTGAAGGGAACCTTCGTTTTTTGGCACAGGTTAGGTGTCGGGTGGACGGTGGAAGTACCACTATGGGCTATTAGACCTTTAGGGTACCTTAATCTACCCTTAATAGGGTCCTAATAGGGAATTTTAGGGTCTAATAGCCCATGATGGTATGGCTTCCGACCTTCCACTCTAAGCGCTAAACGTCGGCCTTTAGCCTGCACTCCTTGAATGCCCCGTGCATACCCTCTTTTTCACTGCAAGAAGAAGGCCAAGGCCCCAAACTAGGGGCCATGCCGTCAAATTTGAAATCTTTCGGGGTAGGTATTTCGGTGTTTTGGATTCAGGGTTTAGGGGGTTTAGGATGTCGGGTTGAGAGGCTTTGGGGTATAAAGGGGTTCGGATCTGTGCATCGAGACCGTGCAGACAATGCAAGTCCGAGGCACGATGCTAGGCGTTGAAGGCTCCAGTAGTAAATCCAAATCATTATCCCCCAAAACCACATCCCCAAGATGCTCTACATCACCCGTATATGGTAGGTTGTCAAGAATCACGGTCCCATTTCGGGTTCCTAAGACGATGCGGCCCCTATTGTTTAGGGTAACTAAACAGGGGCAACAAATTTGACAACCTACCATACACGAATAACCCATTCCCTAAAAGCCATTATATCTCAGCTTTTCATTTGATTCTTCACTACCCATGGCCCCAAACCCCAAATAGTACGTTCCCTGTCATTATCTACCTATTTTCCAATTATTGCCCTAATCCGTATGAGCTATAGTCTCAACTCCTAGTATCCCCCTTGATAACCGCAATGATACTGCCGTATATAATCCCCTCTATAATAACTCCCTTTAAGGAGTGTAGACAAAAGTCCCTAAACCCCAAACTCTAACTCCTAAACCCTAAAACCTAAGCCCTAAACCCTAAACCCTACCGAATAGGAACTAAGGCCTGGAATCGCCGCAGCTGCTCTTGCTGCAGCTCTTCGGAAGTGAGAGGTCCCTTGCGGTTTAGGGTTTAGGATTTTCAATTTNNTAGGGCTTACGGTTTAGGATTCAGGCTGAGGGTAGGCTTGGGTCCTGTTTTGGGTGCACTATCACGGGCGCATAAGGGCCCAAAAAACACATTGTTTTGACAACCTACCACTGCAGGTTTTAGGGTTGAGGAGTTAATTAGAGCTTATGTATGGATTTGCGGCTCCAGGTTGAGAGATTAGCTGGCATGTCAGCTCAAGGAATTTCGATCTCATCTACGTCACTGACGTTGAGCCTATGCCTTCTCCTTCGCAGCATTGCCATAGGGCTCGGGAGGAGTCCAAATGTGAAATCATGTCATGCCTTGTGCATCGGTGGCAATAGCTGCGGGAGCAACAGAGGTACCAACCAGTTCTCATTTCTCTGGCTGGATCATCTCCGATGATGCTTCCTTTGGCTGGAGCATCCTCACATCAGAACATGTGCCTAAGCATGTAGGAGCGCAAGGAAATTCAACAAACGTCCCTGTAGTCCGTGTTGTCCGAGCGCGTGCTGCTCGATTCGCTTCTTGCAAGCGAACTGACAACAATCTGAAAATTCTCCTCAAACCATGCAAATATAGTAGTTTCCATTTTCATTT